GCTGTAACAGCAAGGCCAGAATTTTCCTGTCTTCCAGAACTTTCCTGCCCCAGGGGACCTGCCTCCCCATTTTGCAGGACAAAGAGTAGGTGCCTAGGAGCCACAGAGGCCTCCCCAGACAGGGTAGGAGAGGACCAGGTCTGTGAGTGCTGAGGCAAAGCCAGGTGGGCCTGGGGACTCCTCGGTCTAACAGTCTGTTCTCCTGAGGACCCAGATGGACAGAGGGGCCATCCGTGAAGGCCTGAGGTGGGAATCAGCCCTCTACTCCCAAACCAACTGTTCTCACCCCACCCTCACACCCCCACCCCCTGTGCGGCTGTGATAACTCCTCCCCATTCTGCCTTCAGATTGTACAGCACAGCTGACAGGTGGGGAGGGTCATGTGTGAGGAACAGCTTTTCACTAGACAGTTCCAAAGCCAAAATGGGCTGCCTGCAGGAATTAGGGAGGCTCCCGTCCTCAGCGGTATCCAAGACACCAAGCAGGATAACTGCATTCAGAATCTGACCCTCACGAATGGCTAAACAAGGTGGCCTCCAACATCCCTCCCAACCCGAGCACCTCTGACACAGACTCTGTAGGCATCAGGACATAGCATAGTAGTTAAAAGTGTTTGTTTTTTATCAGGCCTGGGTTCAGATCCCAGCTACGTCCCTGTCAGCCGTGGCCTTGGCCAAGCCACTTCTTCCCTGAGCCTTAGTCTCCTCGTCTGTATTGTGGGGATATGTATGGCCACTCCATGGAGGTCTTACGAGGATGTGACACAGTGCCTGACACCTAGTAAGTGCTCAGCAAAGAGTAGCCCCTGATGATATTCTTATGAAACAGGGACGAGCCCTAGGTGCAGGGCCGAGGCATCGATGCTGAGTGCTGTGGAAGCCAGCCACGGCCCGTCCCCACGACTCCTGGTTATCAGAACTGGGGGAGGAGGAACAGCCAGCTGGTGGGCCGTGCTTAGCCCAAAGGGGCAAAGTCTGCCTGGGAGGTGGCCGGTTGCTCCACTGTCAAGGGCAGATGGGAGGGGATTTTATCACCAGCATCCGGGGCAGCAGCTGCTGAGCCCTCCCTGTGGAGGACGTTCAGGGGGAGGCGGGAAGGAATGTGGGCACGGTGCCAGGTGCAGCGCCTCCCTCCAGTGCCGGAGAAAAGTGCTGAGCTCCCGGCGGTGGAGCCTCATTGCCAGTCCTGCCCTCCCAGGCCGGCCCCAGGCCAGGCTCTCAGCTCAGCCTCCCCAAGCCCTGCAAGTATGAGCATTTGGGTCCCTCCATGGGACCAGGAAGAAGAGGCAGGCAGGGGGCAAAGATTTTGGAATCTTGTGGTCTGCCAGCTGTGTGACCTTGAGCTGGCTGCTGCCCACTCTGGGCCCCAATTTCGCCACATAACATGAAGCGGGGTGGGCCAAGCTATCTGGATGGGTCTTGGGTGCCCGCTCTTTCCTTGGATCCTCCGAGCACCCTGCAGCCTCCGGTCCAGCTCAGGAAGAGGGCTGATGGATGAGAGGGTCTCCCCAGCCAGGGATATGCCCGTTTCCAGCCAGCTTAGAACATCATTCTCTCCCGTACCGCCGGTCGTCCACCTGCTGGTGGCACAGTGACAGCTTCCCCCTTTGTCGCTTCCCTCCCTGTCCAGGCTGAGGCTCCTCGAAAGGCTCTGTCCTTCTGTCTTTCCACATCCTCGGGTGGCAGGGTCTTTGAATCAGGCCTGATGGTGGGGAGCAGGACCCTCAGAGGAGGGATAGCTACTGGAGGGTCCTCTGGGTCATCCTGTCCAGCCCCTGCCTCCGAGCCAGGCCACAAGCATGTCCGCCCAGCCATGCACCATCCAGTCTGGTGTCCTAGGAAGAAGCCGTTGTATTTTCTATCATTATTATTCTTATTGTCAGTTACCATTACGTGCGAAGTATTTAACATAGTATCTGGCACGCAAGTTCTCAATAGCCACTGTTGTTATTATAATGAAATTAGCAGGTTTGAAGCATCTGCATTTTATATTTATAATCTCATTTAATCTTTAATCCTAAAGGTAGATATTAATAATTCATTTTCATTTTATTATTATTGTTATCGCTTGTAGCTTGTATTAAATGCTCACTATAGACCAGGCTCTCTGCTAAGAATCGACTTGGATGGTCTCTTTGAATCTTTGCCTTAATCCTGAGATGAGTCCTTTGATCTCCATGATGTAAATGGGAAAATTGAGGTTTGTGGGGACAGGTGATTTGACCAGGGTCACTGAGCCAGCATGTGGCAGATCTGGGATTTGGATCTGCTCAGTCCCAGCAGCGTTGATGTGAGCACAGACTTTCAAGGTCATCTTCAATCAGGGTAACCCTGGTACCAGCCTGATCCAATGACCCAGAGCTCACCCACATCAGAGCCCAGGGTATATGGTAGGTGCCTGCTCCCTGGATCTCACGGTGTCACCTCTTCCGGGGGCCTCAACTCCCACCCCAGCACTCGGCCTCTCCCTGACCTCTGTCACCGCCCCTTGGCGGTTGAGCCATTGGCACTGCGGCCATCCCCTGCATTGTCCCCCTGGGGCCTGGAGCCTGCCCGGGATGGAGCCCAGACCCAGTAATTGATTGAGCCTTGATTGACGCAGGCGGCGGTTGAAGCCGCGGTTGGAGCTGCAGCCCAGCCAGGCCTGGGAGCTGCCAGAACCCGAGCTTCCGTCCAAATTTGGACACTTTATCTGTACTGTCTCTGAAACTGAGCCACCCCGGGCTGCGGGAGAAACCCTGCCACTTGAGCAGTAAATAAAGCTGGGCTCAGGAGAGAGGGGAGGTGGCAGAGAGGGTGGAGTGTGGGGATCGTAGGGATGGGGGTCTGAATCCCTGGCCTGCTATAAAGAGAAAAATGCCTGGCACATAGTAGGAGCTTAATAAAGGTAACTAAATATCCGTATAATGGTGGCAGCTGCCACTTCTAGAGCTAGCTCCGTGTGCCAGGCACTGTGCTAAGTGTTCGGCATGTATAAACTCCGTCCTCATAGTGACCCTGAGAGGGTCCCCATCATGCCAGCCTACTGGAAGCCAGCAGCCTGCTCCAGCCCTGACACGTCATCACGGACCATCATTGAATCCCAAGTTCAGTAAGTGGCAGGGACCTTGTTTTCCTGAGGGGCACTGAGGAGGGGGGAGTCCAGGTAACTTGCCCCAGGAAGGACTGACGCCCTCAGTAGGCCACTCCCCACAGCGCTGCTCCAGTACCTGTCAGGATCGGGCAGCAGCCGCCCAGCCCCATACCAACTGGCAAACAGGCTCCAAAGATGGAAGGGGGAAGGGGCTTCGCTGCGCCCCCCCCAGGGCTCCTCCAGCTCTAAGTGGAGCCTGACCATGGGACCACAGGCCTGCCTGACCTTCCTGAGTCCCTCAGCCCTCTACCACGTTCTCTCACGTCTGCTTCCGGCCCAGCTATGGCCACTGCCCACAGGGGCCTCTGGCCCGTCCGCCCCCACTCCAGCCTCTTACTGCATGGTGGGGAAAGAGGCCTCGGGACCCTGCATTCCCAGACACCTGTCTTCCCTGTGCTGCCTCCCTTCCAACCACTGACTCACTCGTGGACTATTTATACCCCAGTACAAATGCTCCACTCGGGGCTCCCGGCAGACGTCTCTGTTCTGCCGGCAGCCCCAGGACGGGTGGAGAGGGCACAGAGAAAATGTGCGGGTTTATGAGCTCAACAGATATGGGGTGGAAGCCCAGTGCCTTCCTTTACTGCTCTGTGACCTTGAGCCGGTCACTTAACCTCTCTGAGCCTCCCTTATAAAATCAGGTTATTCTGAGGATTAAGTAGAATAAAGTTCCCGGTACAAAGTCGGATTTCAAAAAGTGGTTGCTCTTAGATGTCCAAGTCATGTGAAGCTTACGTGTGACTAGAGAATTGGACAGGAGCCAGGGAGCCCTGTGTGGGGCAGAGGAATGAGGTCTGTGTTTGTGTAGCAACTCCAAGGCTCCAGGACATAGGTTTCTGGAACTCAGCCCCTCTATGTCATGCTGCTGCCACCAACTCTGTCACCCAGCCAGCTTTTGAGGCCTTGGTGGCTGTGCAAGCTTTTTTAGGCTCAAAGGGCCCCCCCTTTGCTAGCTCTGAGACCGCTGCCTCCAGCCACCAGGAGACAGGCAGGTGTTCTCTTAGCCTGATAAGAGGGCCCGCCTGGGCCATGTGACCAACGCCCACATCCACAGTGCTGTGCGCTCCAGGCACCAGCAGCTCCAGCCAGGGGACAGGGTATGGAGGCCAGCTCTGACGCAAGCTCCTGCCGCAGGGAGGCGAGTCTAGAGGGACATTTAGATTCCACCTCCCACCCCAACCCTGTCTCTGCCTGGCTGTTGGTGGCAGAAAAAAGAGACCTGCAGTGTGCAGGGCAGAGGTGATGCCCCAAGCGTTTGCAGCCCCCCCAGCCATCTCCCCACTGCCCACTGCAGGCACCCCATACAACTTGTTCCCTGAACACACCCCAGGCCACTTCCAGGACAATTAGAAGTGGACCTCCCTTCTGTGACCTCTGGCCATGCCCTTGACATGTGGTGCCTTCTTCTGCCTCCCTCCTGGGTGGGGATAGGGAGTGGGGAAGAGGTGAGGCCAAGGTGTCCCCCACGTGCCCGTGGCCGTGCTGGTAAGCCAGCCGGTCACGGAGACGGTCGGTGGGTGCTGACATCGGAGCATACCCTCCCGACCCACAACCCCATGGTACTGTGAATTTATGTCACATTCAGTGCAGAGAGGCTATGATTTCAGCTCCCTTGTGCAGCGGGCTCGTCCAAAACAGTACTGTTCCAACATGTAGAAGGCTGCCAGGCCAGATGGTGAGTCCCCCATTATCAGAGGTAACCAAGCAGTAGCTGGGCCACAAATCAGGACTCCACCTGGGCTGATGTCCCTTCCGGCTGTGCTAGGATGACATGTTGGTACGAGGTGCCCTCCGAGTCCTGGGGCTCCTTGCATTCCGGCTTGTGACCGCCCTGACCGATCAGGTATGAGGAGCCAGGATGTCCTTAGGCCTCTCTCTGTGCCCACAGGTATGATGCCGGCCGGGACGGCTTCATTGACTTGATGGAGCTGAAGCTCATGATGGAGAAACTTGGGGCCCCCCAGACCCACCTGGGCCTGAAAAACATGATCAAGGAGGTGGACGAGGACTTTGACAGCAAGCTCAGCTTCCGGGAGGTGAGCCCACTGCCCCTGGGGGGCTGCCCCCGAGGGCTTGGTGGCAGGGAGACACTACCCCGTTTTGTCACTGAACAACACTGTACTTGAACCGCGGCCGTTGAATGGCTGTGGCCGAGTGAGGCTCCTGGTGGGATCCTGGAGCAGGCACCGGTGGGGGTGGTCTGAGATGCCTTAAGTGAGAAGGAGGGACATCCATTTCATCATGTAGGGAGCCCTTATTGAGTGACCTCTGTATACCTGACCTTGTGTGGGCTCTGGGAATACCGTGAAAGGCCCTGTGCTCCAAGCATCCTGGAGTGGAGCGGGGGAGAAGCCCAGGGCAAAATGACACGATGCTGGGATGCAGGAGACGAGGGGGACAGACGGAAGGCGCGACACGTACTGTGGGTCCAAGAGTTGCTGTGCACTGTGCCGGGGGACTTCACTCAGTCCCCACTCTGACACGGCCCCACGGGCAGCCTGTTCTGTGCAGGAAGAAATGCAGGCTCACAGCCAGCTCGCGAGCGGTGGGACTGGACCGCAGGCCACGTGGGGACAGGGCTGCCTCTCGGGACCGTCGAGGCTCAGGCCAGGCCTCGGAGAGCTGGCAGGAAGCACAGAGCAGGGAGGGCGAGAGAACGGGGCCAGGCGCCTGGGGGAGGACAAGTGGCAGGGAGGAAGGGGAGGCAGCACAGGGTCAGGACATGGGTTCAACTCCTTCCCTCAATTTCTGGAGCTGAGATTCGGGGCGGGTTTTTTCTTGTCTCCGACGTTCTGTAAAGGGGGCATCATCGTGTCCCTTTTAGGACTCAGTAAGTGGAATTTAGAGTGAATTGGTTTGGGGAACAGTGTAGACAAAGATGAGAGGTGAGTTGAGGCCATGTCGTCAAGTCTCTTGTTGGGGGCTGAGTATGGACAGAGCGGGCTTGCCGTAGCCCTGGATTCTGGGAGGGCGGGAGACGGGTCCCCTAGCCTCCCATTGTACAGATGGGCAGACCGAGGCCCAGGGAGGGAGTGGCACAGGGCCTGTGCGGGGACACAGCGTGGAGCGGGACGACCTAGACCTCTGGCTCCCAGCCCCGGGAGCACACCTCCTTCTTCCCAGGGAGGCCAGGCCGAGCCCAGCTGTGGGCAAGGACACCGGCATCTTTCCCTCCCCCCGACACTGTGTGGC